CCTGCCTCTGAATACCCCGAAGTGTCAACAGCTAGTCAAAACTGGAGCCATGCTAGGCGGCAGGACACTGAGACCCCCAGACCAGTCCCAACAGATACCCACGGTAACCATAGTCAGAGAACTAGGTGTCCTTGGTAATGCGGACTTCAAGCCTGGACTCCAGTGTCGAGAGGCAGCAAACCGGGCATCCAGAGCCCCGCACCAACTTAGATGTGCGATAAGCTCCGGGGAACCCGAAGTCTTGCTCCCTTTTTACAAGGCGGATATGCGCACGCACCTCGAATAGTGCGTCCAGGCTTGCAGCCCGTTTCTGATCCAGGACATGAAAACACTAGAAACAGTGCAGCGTCGCTTCACCAAATGGTTCGCGGGTTTAAGACATCTATCTTACGAGAGGCGTCTCGAGGCGTTAGACCTTTTCTCATTAAGCAGGCGTCGGCGGCGCGGGGACTTGATCGAAGCGTACAAGATCCTGATGGATGTACCGAATGGAGCGCTGCTCAAGCTCAGTGAAACAGCGAACCTGAGAGGGCACACTCTGAAACTGGTTAAAGATAGAGTGGGGACTCGGCTTGGAATGTCCCCGATCGCAACAAGAGTTGTGGATGACTGGAACAGACTGCCGGATGAAGTCATCGCTGCCAACTCGACAGCAGACTTCAAACGCGGATTAGACATGGTATGGACCAGGGTGTTCGAGGAGGGCGGGGACTGAGTGGAACAGTTTGGATACAGCTGACTCGGGACCGCTATCCATTTATTGCTAAACCTCCACCATCCATGTCTTCCTCTACTCTTTGTTCACTCTCCTCCCAACCTCTCTAGAAGCTCTATACTTAGCCCTTTCTTATCCTTTTTCTCTATTAAGCGCCTCTATCTCTTTACATTAACCTCTTAGTCCCAATGGATGGTCGGGTCGTCCCATGAGTCTGTAAGCCGCAACACCATTCTTGACAATGCCCTTTGACTGGAGCCCTGCGAAGGGTGGTCTATCCTGGTCATTGTATGGTATTCGTTCAACTCAAGAAGAGTTTTTCTCTTCCTGTTGTCGTATTACAAGGGGATCCACGGAGCCCGTCAGTGCGAGAAGCTGGACAAGTTGGCACGCCGCCGCTACGTCCTGTGAACCGACCTGATCTGACCTTGCGGTACGTTAGCGCGCGGTTTGAAATTTTGAAGTGCTCTGGTTAAAAATATAAAAATATCTTACGATATTTCACTTTTTACTGACAGGAAATCTGTCTAAGCAGTTGTCAAGCGTATTTGCTGTGTCCTCTTAGGAGGTTTCATTACATTGGTAGTTTGCTCACCGTAAATTGTCACTGCAGTGCGTTAAAAAGCACGGTGAAGCGAACTATACATTCCGTTTTACTATATTACTTTTAAACGATTTCTGGATAGTAAAATATCTAGCTTCAGTTATACCGTTTTTGGAAGGTTTTTGCAAACGAGCTCTGTTAACCGTTTTTCAGTAATTACTGACGCACTTTTCACGTTTGGTGTTATACAGTAAATTTGGTATCCTATATTTACCAGTTTCACCTGCATTGCGCATTTCTTGTTCAAAATATGCCACGTGTCAACTTCCCGTGTCTGAATGAAGGGTGCGGGAAAAAGATGGTGAGTGGCATAATGTGCGACGCATGTGAAAAATAGGTTCACCAAAAGTGTACAGGAGTCTCTACGGAGATCTATGCGTTGTAAAGTAAACACAATGGACTTGAGTGGGAGTGCAGCGGTTGCAAAGCGATTGCTGGCCAGCATATAGCCCAAAGTGCTGACCCGAAAAGTCACCAGAACTAACGGAGACAAAACAAGTGGAAAGTACGGAAGAAACGACTGCAGAGGTGGCAGCCAAAACTTATGCCGAGGTGGTAAAAATTTCACCTAGCAAACCTGCTCCCGGAGCCGCAAATTGCAACCAAAGGCTAAGACTGTCATATCTAAGCCGATGACAGTTAATCCGCGCATCGTCAAAGGAGCCCAGGGTATTCTGGGTAATAGTTTGCACTACATCGAGAGTGAACTGCACAAGTTGCGTGCTGAAGTAGCCTCAATCAAGGCTGTTAGGGTAAACAGAACGTCTCGGTGCAACACATTACTGGTCCTCAATAAAGAGGACCCAATAATCAAGGAGTCTAAAAAGAATACATAAAGTAGAGGTTTGGAGGGAGCCAAACCCGAACGTAAAGTCGGCGGCCCGACCGATACTAGTGGAGTTCGGAGAGACGGGGCAAAGGGACATNTCTTGGCAAAAGCATCCTTTAAGAGTCAGCGCACAAAAGGGCGCTACGAAATAGCTCCGGACATCCCAACGCCATATAGGAACGCAGAGTTTAAGGGGTCCAAGGAAAGGGTGAGTAACCATAGAACGCAGCCATCGACAGGAAATCCATTCAGAAACAAAATGGTCATCATAGAAGATGTAATGGAAGAAGAGGAATGGAAGACCTAACTGCCGAACAGGTCGGTAAGTGTAGATAAAGAAAAACTTGATCAAACGTCAGCTGCATTT